TAAATTTGGGAGCAAGCAGTTTAAGTGGGGAAGAGAGTCAATCGAAGATGACCCAAGGTCGGGGCGCCCTGTGGAGGCTTCTGATCAGGAAATGTGTGACAAATTGGAGAGTGCGATACCGGAGGATCGTCGCACCAAAGTCTCTGTTTTAGCTCATGAACTGGGGATTTCAGAGGGCACAGTAATTCACATCATTCGTGAAAAATTACACATGTCCAAAGTGAGTTCTCGATGGGTCCCAAGAATGCTGACTCCAGCAAAGAAGAATAACAGATCTGACATCTGCAAGGAAAACTTGGAGTTTTCTAAACAAATCGGGGAAACTTTTTTCCCCAGAATAGTAACTGGTGATGAAAATTGGGTTCATCACTGGGATCCCGAAACCAAGCAGGAGTCCATGCAGTGGAAGCACGAGGGATCGCCAACGCCTCGCAAATTTCGTGTTCAGAAATCTGCAGGAAAGATCATGGTCACTGTGTTTTGGGACGGCGAGGGACTACTGCTGCTTGAGTTCATGCCAGACAAGTGTACAATCACTGGTGATTCCTATGCTACCACCATGAAAAATATAAATGATGCCATCAAGGAAAAACGCAGAGGAAAGTTGTCAAGGGGGATCCTTCTTCTCTATGACAACGCGCCCGTCCACAAACCGAGGAAAGTGCAGGCAGCAGTGAGGGAGTGTGGCTTTCAGGAGCTCAACCATCCTCCCTACAGCCCGGATCTGGCTCCTAGTGACTATTTTCTGTTCAGACACTTGAAAAAATTTTTGTGGGGAAAAATATATTAATGCAATGAAGAGCTGAAAGTTGCCGTTTCTGATTGGTTTGATGGACAAGAAGTTGACTTCTATTCCCAGGGAATAAAATCCTTGGAATCAAAGTGAAATAAGCGTGTTGAGTTGAAAGGTGACTACATTGAAAAATAAAGTGTTATTTTTCCCCTCGGATGTTTCTTTCATATTCAGGTAGATAACTTATTGAGTGATCCTCGTAATTCATGGATGTCCGGATAAGATATCTACATATCCCACCAAGCCGATCAATAACTGCTAACCATCGCTTCATTCTCAGCTCAAATCATGAACTCAGTACAAAAATGTATCATACATTAAAAAACTGAATATCCAGACGCCGATACAAAGGTTGGAAAAGTCTTGAATCTGGGTTAATTCCGGCATGGTATCCTGCGACATTGGCGTAAGATATCGCACTCTAAGCCTATTTGAAAAACTAGGTAATTTCATGTTTTATGGCGAAATGGAGGATCAAAAACAACAAAAAAGCCACTTTTCGTCATCTACGAGTCAATGTCTTTCTTATGGTTGGTCTCTTTCCGCAGCAACCCCCCCAGGAGTGGCTACCCCCGGGGGGGGGGAAGGAATTAAATTCACCTCCTCCAAAAACGAGAGTCAGTGTTCTACGCAACCCCGGGGAGATGGACCTCCAAATTTGCAGGAGCGATCCTGTGGTGAGAGAGGAAGAATTATGCCAAATTTCATACCTTCTGATGCTCATAGAGAGGAATACGTGGAGGTTGAATTTTCATGCGGGAAGCGATTGAAGATAGGTCATAGGTGCTACTAAAGCCTAGCCATGTCTTCTTATGTATATTCAGGGGAAAGAAACAAGGCACAGTGGTCGGAAGAAGAGAAGAAAATTTTTCAAAGAGCGGAGATATGGGGGATCCATAGGACAGTGCAGGTCAATTCGTTGGAATCGGTCAAAGAGGTCTCTCACCATCCCATCCCCATGGTCATTTTAATCACCATCTGTATTTCTAGGGCCCAACCCTACATTTCATATCCTTGCACAAACAGGCGTTGGAGATGAATGCAGAGAGAATTTCTTGTGGGCCTGATGTGTTGACCCAACTTGAAAAAAAACACTTGCAGAAACTTCACCTGGAAATATGCACAACATTTTCTTTTCTCCGTAGTGACCCTTCTCCTCTCAACATTGAGCAAATAAACAGGTAGGCAATTTTGTTCTTGATTGTCACCCCCGTACATCAGAGGCTTTCCAAGAAGGAAATGATCCAACGGCAATCTGTTTCAGAGAAAATCCATCGAATTTCTCCATCAGTCAAGATTTTCCTACATTGAGAAACGAGTCTGTCGTAGATCGATTGAACGGTTTGCTTTTCGCCGGTGAGAACATCAAGAAAGCCGTATGTATGCAGGCATTTTATAATTGCCTCAAGAGTAGCTCTTCGAAAGGGTTAATATGATTAATTATCTCGTTGACAGGATGTCAATGCAGCCAAGTCGTCATTTCTGCCGGATTCAGAAAGAAGTGCACTTGAGAAGAAAATCAAGTTCGCCCATGGCATCCGAGACGAAAAAAAAACTAATAAAGCTCGACAACAGGCCAGGAATGGCAGTAATAATGCAACAGAAAGCAATGAGGAGACCGTGTGTTTAACCAAAAATGCGGCTTAAGGCCAGACATCCCTTCCGAAACTTCCTTGGCAATTCCTTCCTTCCCCCAATAATGCAGGCGAAATCATCACTATACCTCATGATTAAAGTGGAGAGAAAGATTTTCCAAATTTGAATTTTCAGGTCGAAACACGACATCATGAAGAAATCCCTGAATAAGGGGAAATTGATAACAGGAAGACACGAAATCCATCTGCTCCAACTGTAAACTGATTACAATAATATGACTTTGAATACATTGGTCAATATGAGAGAAGCTTCTTCGCTCGCTTTTTCTTCATGGATGGATTCTGGGCCTATCTCGGATCTGAGTGTCCATGTAACAAAAAAAAACATTTTTTCTGCTACGAAACCAGATGGGGTCAAATAGACGTCAATATCAACCACGGAAATTATCTCTCTGTTGCAGTCTTGATACGTTAAATTTAAATTTCTAAGTTACTATAGAGGGGGATTTTAATTCTTTGTACATCATTCTTTTTCACCCACCTCTCCCGTTGTTATACATTGGTTCAAGTTCAAGTTTTTCTTGGGTTTCCATTTTAATAATCGATTGGTTATCGTGTGTGACT